GCCCTCCTGTTACTACAGTGCTCATCAAGAGACCTGACCTCAAGTATCAGCTGGGATTCAGTGTGCAGAATGGCATCGTAGGTGTCCAGCGACAGCTTTAGTTTGTTTTGGCTTTCTGTTACCTGTCCCAGACTTGTCAGCCAATATTCTGCCAGCATATAAATGACCATTCAAAAAAAAAAAATCTCATAATCTTCTGAAACATCATCAGTTCATCGTAAACTGAGTCTTCCTAGCCTGGAAACACTTTCCCAGGTGGCTGCGCGCATTTAATGCACGACTATAAAATGAGGATTTTTTTTTCCTTTGTGTTGTTCTGACTTTAGATTTGCAGTCTAATGCGGGGAGGCATCGCGGAGCGAGGGGGGGTCCGGGTGGGCCACAGGATCATCGAGATCAACGGGCAGAGCGTTGTGGCCACAGCACATGAGAAGATTGTCCAGGCCCTCTCAAACTCTGTTGGCGAGGTGACACTTGCACGCCCACGAACACATGCACACGTGCGCACGTCACATGGCTGAGCTTTTGGTTTCCTTTGTTTGACTTTTAGATTCACATGAAGACGATGCCTGCAGCCATGTTCCGACTCCTCACTGGCCAAGAGACACCAATGTACTTATAAAATGAGGAACGGACTGTCAGTTGCTTTGTTGATAAAATCTAACATTGTACAAATTCACAAGCCGATTCTTTTCCCCATCCTGTCTTCATTGTTTGTATGACACTTGCAACAGCCATTTTGTTTCTTCGCTTCCCATTTCAAGAGCTGAACAAACTGTGTGAATTTTTTTTGTTTGTTTGTTTGTTTATTTATTCGTCTTGTCTGTACTGTTGTATCCCTGCAAAGAGATGGAAAGACTTACAGGTGCTGAATGAAGGCTTCCCATTGGGTTTTATATTCACGCACAGTGCAATATATTTGAAGACACACTGCATTTCTTGCAAATTATTTTGCAAATCGTGTTTTTCTGTGTTTTATTTCGGAGTAGTTTACGCAAATGGCACTCCGCATAATTTTCAAATCGTTCGGATTACAGTCTAATTTGGACGTTTTTAAACACACTTTCCAATGATAACAGCATTTTTTCCTCCAAAATAAAAACACCACTTTTGTTAAAATGCACTTTTCATGGCTTGAACACTGTTCTGCATAATAATTTGGAACTGTGCATTTGATCAAAACCTCAATTTTTATCTACGACAAAAAGTTTTTGGCAGTTTTTGTTTCAAAACAACTTATCTGACTTGGAAATCATGCTGAGTGCCATCTGCACGGATTATCTGTAAAAATCGGAGAAAAACGTCATTTGCATCATCATTTGTAACACAGTGTATATCTTGTATAGATTCAGCTGTTTACGTATTGCCCATATTAATAGTCTTGTCAAAAATGTGACAGCAGGCGATGTACGGAGCTTTCACAGACATGTATGGTAAGAACAGGATACGGTAATGATTGCCAGTTCAAGCAGAGATGTTTGTGGTCAAAATATGCTCAATGAATCTAATCGATACATGTGAATGAAAGTGTGGCTTGTGCATTCCGGATTGAGGGAGCAATGCCATATTACTGTACTTTGGTTTTAACTGGATGGCAATACACACTAAGGCTGAAGACTTTTCTATATCTCATGTACAAACACGCACATTCAAATAACAATAACAAAACTAGCAAGAGGTATCAATTATGCTTTTGATATCAGTTGTATGGAGAGAAAAAAACTGTTTATTTTGTCTGCTTCCTCTTGTGTATGTTGATCTTTTGGTGTTCCTGACAGAAACTCATGTAAACAATGAGCGGACTGTGAATGTAACGTGTTGTGTGAGCTGCCCCATTGCCATACCAAGTATTAGAATGTCTGTACATAAAAAGTCAAGTCACATTTACTTGTGTGACTTGGCTTGAAAAAGAAATGTGCATTGTACAGTATTGTGCTTATCATCGAGAGAGAAAACAGTGAAACTCCCCATTTTAGCCATTGCAAACGTCGCCCACCCCACTTGAATGTTGGCGTTGGATCCTGGGAGGGAAAGAGCAAACTGAATGACACTGTGACAGTAAAAGCTTTACCACAGAGTGACGCTTTCAACAATGCACGCTATTTCATTTAACCACATGAACATTATCGGTGTGCATGCCTCGTAATGTTGTATCATGTCATTGTGGCAAGATAATAAAATCTGAACTAAACCTGGCTGGTTGTGTGTGACAGGGGCACATATTAAATTGTGGTGCTGGATATACCGTTATGTGGTTCATTTGTGTGGAGTCTCTCTGTGCTTGTGTGGGTGAGCTGACTTTCTACTACATTTAATCATTCATTCATCTTCTGAACCGCTTTATCCTCACTGGGGTCGTGGGGCGTGCTGGAGCCTATCCCAGCTGTCTTCGGGCAGTAGGCGGGGGACACCCTGAACCGGTTGCCAGCCAATCGCAGGGCACACAGAGATGAACAACCATCCACGCTCACACTCACACCTTGAGAAAATTTGGGGTGTTCAATCAGCCTGCCATGCATGTTTTTGGAATGTGGGAAGAAACCTGAAACCGGAGGAAACCCATGCAAGCACGGGGGAGAACATGCAAACTCCACACAGGGAGGCCGGAGCTGGAATTGAACTCGGTACCTCTGCACTGTGAAGTCGACGTGCTAACCACTCGACTACCGGGCCGCCATTACATTTAATCAAAAGTGATGATTTGTTTGTCTACATGTACCCTATGATTCGCTGGTGACCAGTCCAGGGCGTACCTCGCCTCTTGCCCAAAATCTGATGGGAAATTCTCCAACTCACCTGGTATTCTGACAAGGACATGCACTTTCCAAAATGGATAGGTGAATGGATGGATAGTCGTATCAAGGCTACACAGTGGACTGTAGCCAAACGCGTGTTCTTCACAATCGGGGGTCACCTCATCGCAGCCCCTCCTGTGTTGCGTTTGCATGTTGTGCTCTTGCTTATGCATGTTACGGAAAATGAAGACTAAATTGTCCATAAGTGTGAATGTGAATGGTTGATTCCCTACATGTGCCATATGTTTGGTTGGGGACCAGTTCACAATAGTCACGCAAAGTCAGCTGGTCAACACGATGGTTCATAAAGTAACAATAGGAGTTCTACATTAATGGACAGGGCACATTTGATTTGTGATTTTAAAATTCCAGCATTTGAACAGATAGGTAAATATCTAAATAAAATCAAATAAGACACCCTCAGGTATCTTTAATGGTATGTAACTACATTTTGCTTTTTAACAACATAGGAATTACAGCGCTCTGACATGTAACTTTGAGGTCACAAACAGCATGCAATAAAATGAACACCCTAAATACATTTTGCACGCTAGTGAGAAAATATGCGACAGGCTCATTGTTATTCATTAGATTGTTTTGGATTTAGGGCCTACAAGTGTTCTCATGCTTATATTTACTGTTACTGTGACGATAACCTACTTTAGTGTAGGTTAGTGTTAAACTATGGCACAAGAATACATCGCCATGCTGCACATACTGCCTTTCAATGGATTGTTTTATGTATAGCATGTGAATATTTCTTTTTCGTGCAGTTTGCTTTCAACACACAACGTAGTAAAAGCAGAGACAATATTTTCAATGTTCAAACCAATGAATTTTAATTTGATAACTGCAATCATGTTTCCAAACAGTCAATATTTTTTTAAGCAGCGTTCCACCACCTTTTCCAGTATCATTCGCTCAATTCGCCCCAATTCGGGAACTTCATGATGGTGGTCTTCTCAGGCGGGGGATGAACATCTCCCATTCCTGTCGTTTCGAATTTGATGCTCTAGTTCCCCCTTCTGGCAGTAACGAACAAATGCATGTGAAGTCGTACCATATGAGTAAGTAATAGTGTTTTCAAAAGCGTAAGCAGTCAAAAATTTGGTGTAAAATTAGTTTGTATTATATGTAATATAAATCATATCACAATACCACCCTTTAATTTTTACAATTTGATGTTTTCTAATGTTCATGGTCTTATTTTTTGTAAAACAAATTTCCCCTCAAACAACAGAAAATCAAACGTTTTTTGACTGGTCCGACTTAGAAGGAAGAAAAATATCAAGAAAGCACGCAAAATGTAGAGAGATAAAACTGCAATGGATGAAGTTGTGGTCACAAATGAAAACGCCAATAAAGTGAAGCCGCAATAACTGAACCGCGAAGTAGCGAGTACGGTGGTACCTCTACTTACGAAATTAATTGGTTCTGGAAGAAATTTCTAAACGAGAAAATATTTTTCGTTACGCCCAAATCCGTTCCAAGCCCCCCAAAATTCAGACATAAATGTTCTTTAAAGCATAAAAATGCATCCAAATATGTAACAAATACATGTTACAATTAGGTGATTGCACAATAAATGAGAGTTGTGCAGAAGGTAAAAAACAATGAATCAAGAATAAAAATGATGGTCATTGAACTTTTAACTCGTCCTCATCGGTTTTTTTTTTTTTTTGCCGTCTTTAGTTCTTCTTTTCTCTCAGAAGTGGTCTTTGCCTGGCGTTTTGTAAAGAACAAATCCACAAACGTTTGCTTTTGTCGGCTTTTAACAATCCTTCGAAAATGTCCAAGGCAAAGCAGCGATTGCCCGACTGGTGAACACTTTTTCTGGGTGATTCACATTTACGTAAAACTATCAGAACGCTTCATGGCCCGAGGGGCGAATGACGAGGACGCTGCATTTACACATTTCTATTGAATGACGACTCGTCGATACATATCTCTCTACACACAGACGTAACAGTCGAAGTGGCTCTTAGCCAATGGGATGCCAAGATGATGCTCGGTAATAGCCAATGGCAGAACAGCTATAAGTACGTTGCGTGCAGGAAACTCGGAGCTGGGAGTAGCAGCCCATGCTGTAGTTTTACCTTTCGTATCTTGACATTTCTTTCGTAACAAGAGGCAATATTTTCCTGTTGAGGCGTTTCGTAACTTCAAAATTTCGTATGAAGAGACGTTCCTAAGTAGAGGTACCACTGTATGTATGTATTCTGAAACATGTTTACATGCCCAAATCTGCAGGTTAGAAAAGGAGCAACCCAGGGTCTTCGTTTTTTTTTTTTTGTTTGTTTTTTTAAACAAATATGATCTTACAGTATTTGGGTTTTTGTAGGTGTTTACATGGTATTGCGCAAGCACAATATTGCTAACATTTGAGTATTGGAAGGGTTATTGGCCGTATGTAAACGGAGTCAGTTTCGCTGCAGTTTAGGGATTCTGGTCATTCTGGTCACACTTTAACATGACCTTTATCCCAAGACCCTGACGTGTGGTCTCAAACGCCTGGACGGCCTGCTCCAGGGGGAAACGGTGAGTCACCAGAGGTTTCACATTCACTTTTCCTGATGCCAACATGGCGATGGCCATGGGCCAACTGCAAAACAGTTAACATGGACATTCTTTTTAACTATTGTATGTTTTTTGGGAATAAAGTAAGAGAAAATTGACATCCAAAATCAGAGGCGAAGGTTTTACATACGTGTTGCAGTAGCGGAAGACGCCTCTGATGTCCACTTCTCTGGTGGCCGCGTTGATGAGAGGAATGGTGGCCATTTCTGATCCAAGGCCCACCACAACCACAACACCTCCTGAGCGGGTCGCCTGGTAGAGCACAGCATCGGTGTCTTACTTGATCCAATGCAGTGTTCTCAATATGTAAATATCAATAACTGCATGACACGATAAAAACACTCCAGAAGAAATCGAATCTGTGGAATGCCTGCCCATCCATTAAGAGGGAAATCTTATCTGTTTCGGAAAATTCAGCGAGGTTCGACACCCATGGTTGGGCAGCTGGGCCCCGTGATCTGTCATTGTCAAGTGCCGGGCGGCGTCTGGCGCCAGACTACACGGAAGAATTATCATGTCGTAGTGTACGTGGGTGAATTAGCTGCTGGTGACGTCGCACAAAAGATATTAAAAGGCAGTCTGGAGAGAGAGAGAGGGGTCTGGAGGGATCCTCAGAGTCTTCGATAGCGCCACAAAAAATAAAACACAGATATGCAGTTCCTCATTGTCTAATACAATGAACCCCACATTATTGTGATTCAGCATGCTCAAATTCACCTATTTGTAAACTCTCCTCTGTAAAACTCACCTGTTTGCTGCTTTTGTGCTCAGGCAAAAGCAATAAAAAAGTTCTATGGCATCAGCTAGGTGCTTTATAGATTCTTGCGATTCATTACTGGGCCTAGTCCCTAGCCACCGTGAATGGCAGTTCACTGTATAGAAAAGGATCATCTGGCCAGGATGGCCCGTTTTTTTCACTCAAACATCTAAGAGCTATGACCGTGGTCTTCCTCCAACTCTTTGGGTTGTTTTTGTCGCTCCGCAGTTATTCATCAGATGCAAAGTGCTTGATCTCTTCTGTGAAGGTGTTGCTAGGCCTGTAGCCTTAAGACTGTTCATGCGGACATTGAGTTCTTCAAGGGATAATGGCTTTGTCAGGTTTGGGAGTGGTTTAGTCTTTCTAACTTTGGTCTTGATTTCTTTTTTGATTGAGGAGCAGCTAGTGGGCAACATCAGTGGCTGTGGTTGTGGTTGTAAAGTACTGCTGGTACGGGGCTTAAGGATCGTTCTCGATTTGTCAGATTAGGCTCCAAACACCCTTTTGCTGTTTGCGCTCATGTCAGCTCTTTCCACCAGGTTCCGCCACTTTTGCTGGCATTGTTCAGATAGGGAGGTCGTGACCACCTAGTTTCCACATTTGATGGAAACTAGGTGACAACAGAATGTGACGAAGCAAGCCAGGAAACGATGTTTCAATGCTTGCCTCTTTCCTCCAATTACATAATCAGGCTGAGATGTGCAACAAGCACATATCTGAGTCCTGAAAAACTTATTTAAACTTATTTAAAAAAAAAAACCACACTGGGGAAATTTACAGCCTTCAGCAATAAAAAAAAAAACAGAGTTTTTCAGGGTGGTGAATTTTTATGAACTTTAGCCGCGAATAATCCTCTGCGCCCACTGCATGAACCTCAACAGGGTGCGGACCAGTGCACGTACGTAGATGGCAGTTTGGATGCTGCTCTCAACGCCAGTGCATTCAATCGTAATGTGAGGCTGAGCTCCCAGTAGACCCTCCACCCTCTTGGCCAACTGCTGAGGTCCGTCCCCTTGCTTCACAGTCAGCTGGAAGTCTGCACCCAAAACCTTGGCCATGGCCAAACGCTCAGGGAACAGATCTGAATGGGACAGTGAGGTGATTAGATCAAAGCAGACAGGATTTGCTGAAAGGATCTGCTGTGTTCATGATGGAAGTCATGTTACCCGTGATGACAACTTGTGAAGCGCCCATTGCCTTGGCCACAAGCAGAGAGACCAACCCAATTGGCCCTGTGAGACAAAAATGAACAGACAAGATGTAGCAACAACCACATGACACACCACCATAAAGAGTGATAAAACGTTGACCCTTAAGTTGACTTTTGAATGCTAAATTAACGACATGCAAGACAAAGACTTAATGCACCGCAATTTTTGCAAGTTAGAATTTCATCAAAGTTGCCTGAGGGAAAGGTGACTCAAAGGTAAACTAACACCTGGAGTTTACATTTTAGCAGGATGTTTTGACTCTTTATTCACTCTCATAATGAAGGACACCAGCAAATCGCTTGACTGTATTTCACTCAAGTACAGAGAAAAAACTGCTTTTAAGGCTGATTAGGCGGGTGTATGATACACTTGGTGCGTGTTGCTCACGGTATTTTGTGGTATAAAAATTGCACCAAGGTGTTAGTATCTCTCTGCAAACACCTAGCCCATTTCACATTTGTCAGGTCTTGTCAAAGGGTGAGCAGTGTTGTTTTGTTTTCGTTTTATGACACAGTGGGTAACATCATAAAAAAAAAAAAAAAAAAAAAAAATCTATTTAAAATGTCAAAGGTGTTATTGTTAAGACAGTTTGTGGGCAAAGTACGTGGAATCATGTTGGGGACCACCGCTATTGAAAATGGATGGACAGAAACACGTTTTGAAATGATGGAACTGCTAACCACACAACACAAAATGCGTTTGACTTGAAGACATTGCACTGTGGCTGTTTTAGTTGTCCATTAGCTTCCTCTCTCCTGTGAAATATTTGTCTGCTGCTACAAATGTTAATGTTCAGCAGTTTTTTTCCCCCCTTGTTAAGACAAACAGATTCCTTAGGGTACTTGTACAGGCATGATTCAGTCACACCTTTGTATATTAGTTTCTCATTCCAAAATAATACTGTTAGTTGTTGTCGTTTGATTTAAATAAAATACCTGCACCACAGATGAGCACGGTGCTCCCGAGGGTCACGCCGGCCCTGCGACAGGCGTGGATGCCCACGGACAGAGGTTCAACCAGAGACCCCTCCTCAAATGTCACATTATCAGGCAACCTGGAGAGACAAACACATTTCAAAGTCAAGAAGATGTGGCTAAAGATTGAGAAAGAGTGTTGCTGTCAGTGGACAGACACCGTTCGGTAATTCTTGGTGCAGAGCCGAATGCGTTACTTGTAACAGAAGTTGGCACTGTGTGTGTAGTATCTGCACAAGCTGCCATCATCGGGCGGCGTGGCACAACAGAAGATAGTCGGCGATAAATTGTAGCGCCCGCTTTTGAAAAACTCGTCCATCTCTCGGGGAACAGTTGGCTCAACAGCCACTCTGTCTCCTGTAGTTCAAAACAGACAAATGTGTAATATACGACCCCGCGCGTTGCTCTGGGGTCCACATTCTAAATGTTTTTCCAGGCCCTAAAGTCATCAGACTTTTCAGCCCAAAAAAAAAAAAACCCCTAGAAAAAAAAAAAAAAAAAACATTCAGAGAATTATTTGTAAAATTAAAAGGAAAAAAGATTTTGGACATTTGTATAATATCTGTTTTTTATATATATATATATATAATTTTAGAAACCTATGTTTACGTCTTTGTTTTTAGTAGTTTTTTTAATGTTTTAAAAATGTTCTGTTAATTTGTTTAAATGTTAGCATTGTACTGTATGTTCTTTTAGTGATTTTTGCAAGCTACATTTGTTTCCTCTGCTTTGCTTCTGCATGCCGTTAACTGTTGTGTTTGGAAATACTTTTAGGTCTTTGCTTGTGTGAAGCACATTGACTTGCCTTGTTCAAAAAATGTCTTTCCTTGCCTGGCTTTACTTTTGGTTTTGACCAAGTTTTGGAAGCCAGGCAGAGGACGATTTTCCCCATTGTACAATCATCATATCCTTTTCGAGATCGCCTTCAACAGCCACAAGTATCATTCATCATGAGGTGAGTTTGTGCAGATGAATTTCCACCTGCATTAATGGGTTTGGTAATCTCATTGTCGTATCATATCACTCATGGATTTCCAAAAAGTTTAGTAGGATGGCATAACACAGGCTTTTGCTTTCGTGAAGTTAAAAGGCACAGCAATCACCAGCCAGCGCGGCACCATGTTTGTACCATTTTAATCAATGTCAGAGTAATAAATGATCACTTACTGAGGATATTAAGTTAGCGATTCAGCATAGTTTTGGAGTGCTGTTGTGTTGATGTAATTATGCAACGGCATGTCGCCCGGATCCAATTTGAACAAAACTTAATAGTGTGCTATATTTCTTTGTCCACACTGGCGACACAGTGAATTTGGCATCTGGTTCTGCTTCTGACCTCACACCACGACCTGTGGATGTATCGATTTGGCAATGAAAAAGGTGCAGTTAGTTACTGGCAGAAGACAAATTGCTCAAAAACACATTGCTATTTTTGAAATTGAATGCCAGTTTAACTTTCTTGAGAAAAAAAAATAAAATAAAATAAAAATAAAATGAGTTTGTTCTTGAAAAATGATTCATTTTGACATAGACCCTTTATGCTAGCCGTGGTAACAGTGTTGGAAACGGATATATTTTCCACACAAAGCATCCATTTCCCATACTTTTCGAAACTGGGAAATTTTTAGAATCAAATTCCATACTTTAGAGTGTGGGAATTTTTACTCATGCTATTTCCCAACCATGAGGCATTTCGGTTCACTCACCTGCTTGAAGGTGTTTGACTGCAGAGCCGACCTTTACCACCCGTCCCGCTGCTTCATGTCCTAACACCATTGGCTTCGTCAGCACAAAGTCCCCAATGCTGCCGTGTTGCCAGTAGTGGACATCAGAACCGCAGATACCAACTGAGTGCATCTGGAGCAAAACCTCTGAAGGCAAAAGATGACACAACTTTGAGGAGTACACATATTGAATAGGGAACACCTACAAAATGACATCTAAATTTCATTTTAACCATTTTATTTCAGATTCAATTTGGTCATTTTTGGGGGTGGGGTGGCATTTTAGGGGGTACTCCTGACTTATTTCGTATTTTTAAGACTATTTTCAAGCATTCTTTTAGTTTAGTATTTTTAGATTTGCTGTCAGGACACTCAGAAACTGGATATTTTTGTGTTTTGTATGTGTTTAATTTGATGGGTGGGACATAATATGTCCTCCAATTCTGGAATGACAGTTCAACTTTTAAATCAAGATCAACACCCGCAAGACATGAAATCAACATTAATAAATTCATGTCAAAGACATGCAAACGCATAAGTATTTGCGGTCATTTTTATGGGTTACGTACAGCCAAGTGATATTTTAAAGAAGACATGCGCTGGAGTTTCGTACCATTAGGACCTGGCTCCGGGACAGGGCGTTTCTCCTGGGGAACAGTCAAACACAACCTGGTGTTGAGAGTACACACACCTTGCAAGAACTTGCCAAGTGAAAACTATTTCTATTGTGAGATTGTACCAGTCTGAGGTCTCCCTTGGAGTGCAGAACCACGGACAGATTGTCTTGCTCCATAACAGAACACCCTCGGTGCTGCCACGCGCGTGGAGAGCAGAGAAGCGAACTAAAGTCCGACTGACAGAGCGAAAGGTGGGGTCTACTATCATGTTTTGAAGTGTCAAAGTACAGTGTCTGGGGGCTGGACCGAAAACCATATCCGTGATTGGTTGAGGATGAGCGGGGCAGTCCACTGTGAAGGGGTTAATGCCTTTATATCTAAAAATAGAACAGAAACATTTTTGCACCTATCGACGATATTAATTCTCATAGGTTTAAAAAAAATGTTATTAAATATTATGCATTTGTTACTACTTTTTTCTTGATCTTGTTTAATACCTTGTGTTGCAGTCATTCCCCCTTTAAAATGCAGACAGGTCGACTCGTTCTGTTTAACATGGCGGACCATGCCAAAGATTTTCGAGAAAGGAGACTGACGCATTAAAAGATTAGCATCGTTTTCAAATCATCTAGCACACATTATTAAGTATAAAATAATTAAGAATATAACGTTCTTTTATTTAATACACTACTAGCTCTAAAAACTAAAATGGAACCAAATAATTATTAAATGTTCTGCCATTGAAACGTTTGAAGCTTGTCCTATGTGGAAGAGTTGATTGACTCAAAGTTGAGCATGTGACCAAAGACAACCTGAGAAATTGCATTTAAACATCTCTGCTGAGTTCTTTATTTTACTTTCTCGTCAGATGAATTTGAATACATTGGAATTTGCCTAAATTGACACGCTTGAAGTATATTTGCAAACATTCAAGTACTGTAATTTTATTGTCATACCAACACAGATTTCAACATAATCTAGCACGAAATGTGGTGCTCGAGGTCCTTGGTTAGCTCAGTAAGCACCATTATTTGTGAAATGGGAGATGCTAATTCATGGTTTGATATTGAAAATGTAGCAACGTTTGGATGCAGCAGAAAACATGCAAAGGGCTTGTATTACAGATGCTATTTCAGGTCTTTGTAGTTGAAAAGAAGAAACTGTAGAGTGCAGAGATGAAGAGGAAATGGGAGTTTGACGTCATGGCGACAGAGCCCTGTTCGAGTTCAACAGTTTAACACAGGGGTTAACAACCTTTTACACTCACATTTTTACTTTGCCTGGGTCAGGCTTAACACTTTCTGCTGAGAGTCTGTGTCCAAGAAACATTATTTTGCTGTTGGCAAATTTACACTTGTCCTTGTTCAAAGTTAGACCCTCTCACGAAGTCTCCTCAACACCTGGTATAGTCTGGTATCATGTTCAATCTGGTCTTCCCCATACACTAAAATGTGGTCAGCATGGCACACCATGCCATCACAGCCCTCCAGAATTTGTGTCATCCTTCGCTGGAAGTGTTCTGGGGCTGAGGATATTCTAAACGGCAGCCTGTTGAAACAATAGCGACCGACTGGTGTGATGAAAGTAGAAGAGCGCTGTCTTCAGGCAGTGGAATCTGCCAAAACCCTCACATGGCATCTAATTTCGAGAAGATTTTTACTCCCATCAGCATCTCCAGTGAGTGATCCACGTTTGGCAGAATGTGCCTCTCACGCTGCACCCATTCATTCAAGTGGGTCATGTCTACACACAGTCTCGGTCTTTTTTTTTTTTTTTAAACCCTGGTTTTGGCACCACGACCAGGCTAGTGCACCATGAAGTGGGTTTTGTGACCTTTGATATCACCCCCATGGCCTCCATCCGGTCCAGTTCTGTCTTCACCTTCTCATGTAATGGGAGGGGAACTCAACATGGTGCGGACAGAGCATATGGCATGGCACCTGGTCTTAGTTCAATTTAGTATGGCGTTGTCAGTTTCCCCAATCCTTTGAGGACTGCGGGGTAACACTTTATGACATCATCTCCCACTTGAATTGTGTGCATACGCTTCACAAGATCCAAAGCTTTAATCGCTGGTAGCCCTAACAGTGATTTTGACAAAGTGTTCATCACATAGATGTCATGTTCAGTGTGTTTATCTCTCACCTTCAGTTTTCCTCTGTAGTAGCCTTTTACCTCCAAAGGCTGCCCGGGCCATACTGGGGAATTTTTGAGGGTTTCAAAGTCCCATGTTTGTCTGTTGAGTAGTGGTTAAACGGGATAGCTGTGACTCCTGCTCCAATGTGTAATTTAAACTCTCTTGTTTCTCCAATTAATTCCAGATGTTCTACCCATTCATTTTCAATACCGTCCACATCAATAAACATTTCGCCCAAAAAGGTGGAGGCCAGAGTTACAATCTATGGAGTCACCTGTGATGTCATGGGCACTGCCAGCTGACTGACATTTTTGGGCAAAATGTCCATTTCTTTTGCATTTGCAGGATTCTGTATCTTTAGTGGGGCAGTCTTTCCAAGGGTGGTTTGTTGTATTTCCAAATCTTCAAAAGCTTGCGACTCTTGTTTCCTGGTTTGAGATGTGCGCTGCTTCTGTACGCTCCTTATGGGACCCTCTGGGTTTTGGGTCTTGCAGTCATTACAGTTGGACACTGCTCACCAGTGCTGCCTTGCATTCTTCTTTCGAGAATTTTGCACAGCAGTCATAGGTCAGTATTGAGAACAGGACAGAATGTTGTTGTTTTTTTTTTTACACCAGGTTCGGTGAGATGATGGTACTGAAGGTGGAGGAGAAATCCATGAACAGCAGGTGGTCGTAGGAATTACTGTTTTCCAGGTTTTGAGGGTCACACATTTGAAAAATGTTACTTCCATTTTCCGAATTGCTTCTCCTCACGAGTCATGCCGCAGCCTTTCCCAGCCTTTCCCAGCTGAGCTGTCTGCAGGTGGGTCACACCAAGAACTCGTCACGAGCTAAAGTATTTATTTGATCACGTGTATTCTCACGATAAAATCAATCAGATTAAGTCAGACGCAACACAAGGTGGTATGTATGTCAGAATTACATCATGGGAATATCACGTGAATGTGCAAAATCGATCACATGCTGACACTTTGAAATAAAGAAAGAGCATTTCATTTCCAGTGAATTACATTTGTTCTCTTTATGACTTTGGCATGCATATGTGGGTGTTAGACTTGGAGCACGGAAAAACAACTTGGAAGGCGTCTCACCAACACACTTTTGCAGGCTGCACACACTGACATGCTCCTAAGTGAACAAATTGATACAACAAATAAGTCCAATGCTGACCTCAGCAGTCACAGTCCAAATAAAGAAAAGCAAATGTTTCACCTGTAACAGTGTCCCCGATTGGATCATCCTTTAAATCGCAACATGTGCACGGTTCACTCGCAGATGTGCATGTACTAAATGCGTCATTCCTGCTAGAAGAGGAATCACTGTTGGCAGCCTGATCAGCAAACCTCTTCAGGAAACACAAAGAGGCAGAAATCAGGCAAATTAAAGTGGGGTGAGTTTTAACAGATTAACTCGGTAAAATCATCACCATGTGTCATTAGTCATACCAGTGTAGTTGGTTCGTCATGCTCCCAAATAAGCCTTCCAATCACATTTCTCACTGCTTAAGAGACAAAGAACACAATCACCAATATGTATTAATTATGCTTGTGGTTCCTTTATTGTACATGGCAGTTATTCTCAACTGGTGGGTCGGGACCAAAAGTGGCTCACAGACCTTTGACTGTATGGGTGGCTGAAAGTAAAAATTAAGTCATTTGACTATTAAAAGATTGAAAGAAAGCTCGCTTGGTGCAAACTGAAGTATCATCGGCATTGAAACAGTCTCAATTAACAAATGACATGAGTATTTTTATATTAATTGAATAATTCATAATATTTAAAGTGTTACAGATTTGCTTGTCTGCGTCCTTCATTTCCTATTAAAAAGACAAACTGTTTATGTTGCACTTTCCTAAAAAGAAAAGATTAGTGCCAAAACGTGTTAAGATTTGCGTCCATGTTAACACTCACCCAAGCTAATTAATCGAAAAACCGAATATTTCAGTTATTAATAATTCCATTTAAGGGGTAGAATTGTGTTTCTTCAACAAAGGGAGTTGGTGATTTTATTAGAGGTGGCCAACATCAATTGTTTTCTTTTGGGGGTGGGTGAGCATCAAATAACTGAGCCAGTTGACTGTTTTGGTTTCTGTTGCTGTTGAGCAACCTCCAACTGGGTCCTAAAGCGGCTTCTAAAGCCGCAGCGACTCGGGTACCTGCAGACCAGTAGTCGGCTATTGACTGGGAACTGTTCGTAGCCCGAAGGCACGCCCAACACCGCTTGGAGGTCGTTCTGAGTTGGGCTGTGGTTGCTGTTTTAAGTGCTTTTGATGTGGTTTGGTTGTTTATTATTTCTTTATCTTGCGACTTGAAGGAGCATAGAGAAACATCTATTCAGTAAGAATCCTCACCATCCTGCACTGGGACTGGAGGCATCACATAGTGACCGATGCTCACTGACTTGGTACTCTGTCGCTTTTCACATGCACTCAGGAACAAGCTGTGAAAAACTGTCAGCTTGTCCCAGACATACTCCATGCTTTGAAAAACACTGCAAAAAGACAGCACCTTTAGTATGCGACCGACCATGGTGGAATCAATGTTGAAGCAATTATGTGACAAACCTGAGTGTGTCGGGGTGTTTAGCATCATCACTGAAAAGATAATCTGCTGTTCTCCAACCTGTAATTATCCCATTTTCCACGACTACAAGGAAACAAAATGACACCAATTTGTTCGCGCTGATGAAAATGTTGACATTTATCGTTAGCGCTTAAACTGAGGTTGTTACTGCACTGTTTTACCTTTAACTCAAATATTTATTAATGTACAAACTGGTTCTGTTTATGAAGTAGGAAGGATAATTACAATTAATCTCAATCAGAACAGTACTAAATGGTACGAACCCCAAATTTAACTTGGATTGTTTAATGTGACTATCCTTTATTAAAATGTTTAAGAAATACCGGTACACTTTTATCGTTTTTATGGATGGGTGTTTACATGAATAAACAACACGATCTTTAGCTACGGTGCTAATGGTTGCGTGTAAATATCCACTCTTCACGTTTTACTTACGCCAAAAATCCCGACGTGACTGTGAAACACTGCTTGAAAACCAGGCCTTCATATTTGCAAACATATTACGACTTGAATTTAATCCGGTGTCTGTCAGTAACTTCCAGTCCCACAGGTTGGTCGCCTGCCTCACTTTCAAACACGCCGCCTCTGACTCCTAAACGCCGTTCAGAAATACAGTAGTTGTTATTGACAGGGCATCGCAACTCCCGTTGTCACTCAAAATAATTGCACTAGCTGCCGATACACTCTATGTCGTGGTTTATTTATGTTATACGTTAAAGTTGCTCTTTGCGTTCGGTGGATGATACAGTTAAACGACCTCCATTCATTTTTTTAACACAAAGAAGGAAGAAAAAAATGAGTTACCGTTTCTGCTTGTATGGTTTGTTTGACCCAACTAACGTAACTATTCAATAAAGCTTCTTTATGTATTTTTTGAAAGGTCATGTGAATAATTGCTTTTTATTTTATTCATGAATATGCAGTGACAATACCAGTTGTTACATGTTAGTTTTGAAGACTGTAATTTCAAGATTTCTCCTAACCCTTCTGTTGTAGCTTTGCATTTCTATTTCCTATGTATGTTTAAATTACCATGTACATTTGCATGTATAATTTGCATATTTTTATGATTAAATATGCAGGAGGAAACATTAGGCACGAACATGAACAGAAGGGTTCAAAATAAGTTTACAGGTCTTAGATTCAATGTCTGCTGTACAGACGTGAACCGCTAGATGGCAGTATTTTATAAGGCACAGCTCGTGTACTTGTTTAAGGCTCCTAATAAGTCTTTCAAATACCGGTACTGTACTGCAATGGATTTGAGGTAAACTCAGGCAATGATAAAGCATCATTTATGGATTAGTGCTCCTCTTTTTCGCCCTCCAAGAGCCCTACATGAAGCCACTCTTCATTTTCTCTTATATCAAAACAGTGAAACGGTCAGCTTTTATTTGATGATATTCTGCTGGGGGCTCCAGCTGCCATGAGTGATAACATTTAAGTACTTGTAACGCAAGCTGTTATGTTTTCAAGTCCCATTTATTCACAACAACGTCAAGGTGGCTGCGTGGGACAGATCACCTCACTCCAGAGCAGCTGGGGTTCCAGAACATCGCACTGGGGTTGTGTGCAGGTCAGGCGCTTGTTGCAGTCACACTAAAGCATACATCGCCTCCCCCAATATCCATTCCAGTAATATCATTTAGCCTTGTGTTTTATAACAGTGACAGCCTATTAAAGCCGTTATTGCAGTGCAGGAGTGCTGCCAGGATGGTTCCAATCCAAGTGATGGTCTTGAGACGCTCTCATTCTGTCACCATGCAATCGGCTCTTTCCCAGAATGTTATGGGCAATTGCGGTGCACAAGTTGTACGACTGGTCCAAGGGATTCAAAGCAGCACTAACTCTGTTGCCATGACAACAGTGAAGCCACTCCCAGTGACCCCCATCCAAAACCCACCCATCATGTCGTGTTCAGAGTGTGCTCTTAGAAGAGGAGCTGGCTGTGCTTATTAAACGTAGAAGGACAAGCTCCCCATTGCCTTCCCATTTTAACAGATTTTATTGGCTCAAAACAACAGATTCATCAATGCACTGCCTTCCCATTTTAATTTTATTGGCTCAAAACAACAGATTCATCAATGCATTTTATGCTGTTGGTAGATTGAATGTTTTGACGTGCCGTACAGAACGAATCGATTGATCATTGGATACTACAGAGAACACTGAAGTCAATGCGTATTTAGGATCTTTTTCATTCTCAGTTATTGTCTGACTGATCTCATATGTGAAGATCGTTGAAACTTTGGACTGTTGGTATTGAATTTCTTCTGATTTAATCAATGAAATAATAATTAACTTGAGCTCCAATTCCATCACTATGATTTATTAATGCCCTCTTCATTCATTTTGCACATCCACGTCTTTCATATGACACTATGCCGTACTGTACAGTATTTGGATCTTTCGCGATCGAGCACCAATTCATATAGCTCTCTAGTGAAGTGATTGGACCAGTCTTTGTCTCCATTTTTTGGTGCCAATTTTGTCCACTGAGCTTGCTTCCCACTGGAGGAGAAAATGGTCAGTGGTGGTGAAGATGGCCCAACCATCCTATGATGTCCTTTGTCACTATCCCACGGTGACATGACCCACATTGCTGCAGCGTCACTCTGGGAAAATAAACCTGGAAATGTTAACCCTTGATAAAGTCTAACTGCTGCTTATTTATATATTTAGCATTTAAAGTAAGACAGTTTCATCACCTCTTCATGTTTCTATGTAATTACATCGATGCTTTAACTGAGAGAACAATGGGCACAATAACAGCCATATCAACGTCAGTAATAATCTAATGCCAAAAAAAATGTTGCTCTCATCTTTTAAAAGTAGTGAAACCATATTTTTCGGCAAATCACAGTATGTTATTATTGCATGTCCTTTGAATTTCAATTGAAATCGGACTAACTCTTAATATTGCGAATTTACATTAGTCCAAGGGATTCAAAGCAGCACTAACTCTCTGACATCTGCTTCACAGTGCTGAGGTGCGAGGTTCGATTTTGGCTCCGGCCTTCCTGTGTGGAGTTTGCATGTTCTCCCCGTGCATGCGTGGGTTTTCTCCAGGTACTCCGGTTTCCTCCCACATTCCAAAAATATGTGTGGTAGGTTAATTGCACACTCTAAATTGTCTCCAGGTGTGAGTGTGAGCGCAGATGGTAGTTCGTCTATGTGTTCCCCGCGATTGGCTAGCAACCGGTTCGGGGGTATGCCGTCTACTGCCCGAAGAGCTGCGATTTTTACAAATAATGAAAAAATAATCATTTAATTTTATCTTGCGAAAACATTTCACTGGCTCAGTCTGAACATCCCCGCATCCATTTTCTAGATCGCTGAATCCTCATTAGGATTGTCGCTTGAGCCTATCCTAGATGACTTTGGGCGAAAGCTGGTTGCCAATTGCAGGGCACCATTCACACTCACTTTACACCTGCGGGTAATAACGAGCAGGGGTCGTCAACCTTTTTGAAACTGAGAGCTTCTCCTTGGGTACTGATTGATGTAAAGGGTTACCAGTGTACAGATTACTGAGATTTGCTCAAATTACCTTTTCATGTTAATATTTATTATGAATGATATTCATTGATGTGAAGTGTCCTGTTTCTGTTTGTGACCAGCAGGTGGCATTGTAGGGCCCCGCCCGCAGCTGCACACCTGTTGGTTATTATGTCATTAGTTCTTTAAAAGGAATCCTGGCTCGACCACTCATGGTCGGGTCGTTCTTTGTTTGCTCCTGTCACGTTTCGGTCATGTTTGTTCTGAGCTCATTTTTTGTTCATGTCTTGTTCATGTTTCGCTCTTGTTCTCGATCATGTTCTCGCTCATGCTACGGTCACAATTAGTTTTTGGCTTCAGCCATGGTTTTTGTTTGTTACTTTGGATTTTTGCTTTCTTCATGTTTGAGTTCCGGATTTAGTTTTTCTCTTTGTTTAAAATACAATTCGTCAAGTACACCCTGGTCCTCCCTCTCGCCTGCTTTTTTGGGGTCCATCACCACCTCAAACGTGACAAAGAGACTGATCATATTAATGATTTCTCACAAAAATAGGAAACAGACAAATCACATGCAACACTAAACAGTATTTCCATAAATCTCTGTCAGTTTATGTTTTCAAATGATCAATTCTATCGCATTCCGAGAAAATGTGCCATCACTAGTTGTGAGGTATTTTTAGAACAGGCCTGCAGGCTACTAATGTGGTCCATGGGGGCTTCTCCACGAGCACCACGCTGGAGACCTCTGGTATAAAGTTTTCAATGAATGAAAAATGCATTTTTTTTGGAATATAAGATAAAGCCAGAGTACCTGGACAAAATGCACACAGGAATGTGAAGAACATGCAAATACCACACAAGAGGGCTGTAGCCAAGATTCACACTGTCAACTTCAGAACTGCAATGCCGATGTGCTATCCACTATTTCACTGTACAAATTGGACAACGAATTAGAAAAGAGTAAACACCCAACAGATTGGCATGTCAATAAATAAGGCATTTATCACATTTTGGAAAACAGCTTTTTATAACAATTTAAAATATTGCAAATTATCCCAGAAATGAATCGAGTCAGTCATCATTCATTGAGAAAGCTTTGTGGTTGAACACCTGCCCGTGAACTTTCATTAAGCTCCATCAAGCCTTTCCCCCCGCGGCGGAACCAGACACATCAAGGCAGCAGGCTTGGAATCGCAGGTGTTGAAGGATTAAGGGCCGCCGCAGGATGAGGTTTTATTGTTCACCTCGTCTTTGATGTACTGTCTCTTCGGTTCACTTGTGTTTGGAACATGGAACAGCGATTGACAGCCCAGAGTGACCAGTGGTTAACCGGAAATATGATCTGACCGTGCTCTCACGCACTCGCGCGGCTGCACAAAGTTGGAAATCATTGACAACCACGGTTTTAAAAAGTGGTTCATGTCCTGATTAACACCACTGAGCTCAGTCATTTGACTGTTGGCGGGTGAGATGAGTTGTGGCAAAAAATGTTTTTGTTGAATTGACTCAGTTTTATTTTGTCAAGTCTTGCACACAATTAAATCATTTGGATCTAGATACATTTTCTTAAGCAGACTAAAACATCTATGGTACTATAAAATGTAACCGGAGCCAGATGATTTTACTTTGTGCAACCACATGACAAAATAAAATTGACTAACTTCAACACACCATTTTTTTTGTTCAGCGTAGCTCGTTGTTGAAGGATGGAAACATGCCAGGGAGACACTGAAGGAGGTTGAGAGCAACCAAAATCCCGCGGGACTTCCAGATCCAACCTGACAAACTGGTGATGGTCAACCAGCCTGACATAGTGGTAAATGTCAGAAGACAGCAGTCATGATACATGGAGCAATCCAAACGGATAACAGCACCCAGAAAAAGAAGAAGCTATCTGTTCTCCGGGTTATGCATCTGAACACAAAGCCGAGTGAAAGGTAAAACATGAGGTAGAAAAAGGAAAAAGATGCAGAAAAGCACAAATGCTGTTGAGAGGATTGTGAAGCAAAACCCATTTAGGTATTAAAGGGAACTTCCAAAGGATTGGACTGAGGCCTGAGTCGCTTCATCAAGAGCCGCAGTATCAAAGGATTTAGCTGGACGTGGCGCATTCCTGGTCTTAAGCCGGT